TTAATAAGTTCATATTAACATGATTAAACTTATATTTGTTTAAATGCTCTAAAAGCCGGCTTCTGACAGCCGACTTTAATTTAATTTGATACTAGTCCAATCGATATAGCATTGTATCTGTAATTGTTATCAAACGTAACTTTTATAAAGTAGAAATATTCAAAAAGAGAATTATAAGAAGAAAATCAAAAGTGTGTACATTGGATACTCAGATTAAGTAATCGGGATCAAGGATATCTCATTCTAAAGTTTTCAGCTCTGTTTAGCCAGGACTCAGTAGAGAAAAGAAATTATATTGACATATTGACAAAAATTAAAATTTTAAAACAAAAATAAGAGAATCAAAATAAAAATTTGACACAACTTCTTTTCACCTAAAGTCTTCCTTTCAATTTAGAATTCCTCTGAACGGTAGAATATAGAATAAACTATTAGAATTCCTCTGAACGGTGGAATATAGAATAAACTATTTGATTAAAATATATTCGAGATTAAAGGTTGAAATCCTTGAAACTCTTCCATTAAATAGATAAAGTGAATTGAAGACTAAAGTTTGTTTTTCACTTGATCAAAAGTTAGATATCAATAATCCTAACATTTAGTTCATAATATGGAAATACCAAAAGTAATTTTAAAATGATCATGTTGTTTGAAATAATGATCAGAATGTTAGGCATGTCCCACAAAATTTGCATCCGTACCATTTTATTCTTAATTTTAAACAAAACGTTCATAATTTTGAAAAACAAAATATTAGGCTTTCTCTTACCACTTCACTAATTTTAGACTAAACATATGTTTTGAATATTTTAATAATCTTTATGTATATATTCATTATTGTGAATTTGATAAATTTTGATAAAGTTATTTTAAAGACACAAATATTTGACCTGAAAAGTCCAGCTGACATCGGAGAAAGAATATGATTCATCACACTCATACCACCTTTAGATTCATTCATTAATTCCTTAATTCAATTTTTTATCATTTCATTCATTTTGCATTTGAATAATTAAGCAAAAATGATTCCAATACTCACTCCGAAAAATGAAAAAAAAATAACAGCACTTGGTCATTGTTCGCTGGTCCTACTTGGTCAGTGGTTACCCTGATCATTTGGCTATTTTAAATTTTTCTTTACAGAAACATCAGATAAAAAAGAAAGTTTCGATTAACGAATGCTTAATTTTCGTCGAACATTTATTCTTATTTAATCGTTGAATTTGCTCCTAATTTAAAAAAATGTTTATTAATTTATGTTTTTTTTCTGCCAAACGAAAGCTCCATTATACTTGTTATTACCTTGTCAAATACTACAATGGAAGAAGGGACATGTGTAATTTACTAAAACATAACCAAATTTTTCTGTTAGAAGTCTCAGAATAAATTTATTTTCGGAACGATGAGTAAATGTGAAGAACAGTTATCATTCAGCTTCATATAATTATAAATATGATTTTGCAAAACTACGTAATTCAGTAAAACACATAACATCCGCGGCAATTGAGCATAAATAAGTTTTGAAAACGACATCTATAAATTATTTATTGTATTCATAAGTAAGACCCATAAAACTTTGGAATAGGAAGACGACTGTATGAATAATTAAGATTATAAATACTTCAATGAACAGAAACCACAGCAATTTGTCAGTGTACACACACAACTCCATTTCCAAAGAGAATAGAATATATATTAGATTGGATATTACTAGAAAAAAGAGTAAAACGGCCATTTTGTAGTACTGTTTCCATACTGCAGGTGTACTTTACTTATTTGTGCTATATAACCTTTTGGGCCCTGGAACATCATTTTATAGAAAATCTAAAATTAATATTAAAAGAAACCAAATTATGAAATAGGCTGGTTTCATATTTGACCAATGATCATTTCACATAGACTCTATGCCTTTCACTTTACAAACGATGATTTTCCGTTATAACTATAAATCAAATGATGTTTTTCATTCACCTAATTCATTTTATACAGTTTATTTAAACGCTTTAAAAAATTCAAAATTGAAATGCATAGTCTAGGGAACAAACTGTATTAATGTACTCTACTGCATATAATTTGTGAACATTTACATGATTTGTACACTTTGAACTCCCTTTCAGGCTGAATGGGACTGGCAAAATTCATACCGAGAGATTGTCTAAATTCCACTCTAATATATATTCTATTCTCTTTGCCCATTTCACTTGTTAAAGGGGCAATATACTGCAGTAAGCGACCTTCAAGTTACAGCTTCCATTTATAGAAAGGCATGTCCGATTCACAACGGTATCCTTTAAACCTTTGTTTGGACAATGATGAGGTAGATAACTTGATTTGTACAGCTGAAGATTGAGTGCCGGTGTCATGCATGGAGCGAACCATTTCAACACAATGTTAAAACATAAAAAGTAATGTCATGACATTTTCCGATATTCATTAATGTATTTTGATTTGAAAAACACATTATAAAGATTATCTATGTCTCGAGTAAGTGTTTTTTGCCTTTACCCCTTTAAAATGCATTTAAGAACTATTTGCGTATTTAATATATGTCAACTAATAATTTCATTGTTTTAACATTGCTTTTTATGTCTAACATTGTGTTAAAATGGTTAAAACTTTAGGGGGAGTTCGCCCCATGCAAGGGAGTTGTCCCCATGCATAACACCGGGAGAATCGAGGTTATAGTGTACACTGTGCACTCTGTGCTCGCGCGGTTTCTTGGCAGTTAATTTCCCGCTATATGAATAAGAATATCTATCTGTCTGTATATAGAGAAAATATTTCTTTTGCCTGCAGATTCTCCGAAAATTGTGACCCTATCCTTGTCTCCTCCGAATGGCCCGATATTATCCTGAATCCACCTGAACATCAACCATTATAAACATTAAACATATTGTATTTAAACCGACACTAAAAACTCCGGTTCATTTGATGTACCGGCACTACTTTTAGGCATCTGGAGAAAATAGTGAACAGTATAAACAAAGAAAACAGCTGGAAAAAAGGGGCAGTACACCAAATGATTCATCCCACCAGGTATTGAGCCTCCCCACGTAGATTTAACGGTTCTGTCAAAATATCAGAAAGATGTTACTTTCGATCACAATTTGACCAATTATAAATAATATTTTAGCCTTTTTAAATACTTTTTTTTGTTTACATATACATTTTGAATGAAAAAGAATAAAATAAACAAATCCGTAAGTTTAAAGATTGTTGGTTTATTGACCAAAACACGTTTGATTTCAAATATATGAAACCGAATGCTTCTCACTCTGGTTAGTCCGGGGTGCCCTGGAAAGAAAAAAAATGTACCCCCCCCCCCTGGACAAGTTTCTGACTACGCCCCTAGATCCACTGCCCCTAAAGCCTAAAAATGATTTTTATTGGTTTTTGTCTCAATTTTCTGTTTCCCATTGTAAAAGAAACTTTGTGGTATTTCAATCAGTATTGCCATATTTTGCCTCAGCTCGGTCGGCTTGGATTTTTTTTTTCGAAAACATATTATTATATCCCCTCCCAAAAAACATAAAATAGCACTTTGTGCAGATTGACTGAACACCAAAAAAAGAACAGAACATATTTTTGCACATTAACTGAACTAACTCTGTTCAAAACTTTCCAATTCGCAAGATGTCAATCTACAAAATAAATAATCTAAGCTGAAACTTGAAATCATAAATTAAAAATTCCCTTTGCATTTATCAGAAATCATGTTAAAGGGACTGTAAGCGCAATTTTTAGGCAACCCTCCCAGCAAAGATGACAATCTCCGATTCACAACGGAACCCTTAAAACCTTTATCTGATCGTTGATGTGGGAGATATTGTTGTATTTCTAGGGTCCAACGTTTTCAATATTGATAATTTTCCTGCAGTACAAATAAACAAGTCACTTTTGTAGAGAAACCACAATTCAAATATTATCAGTTTTCAAAATTCTAAAGAATAATATCTAATGCATTCACTACATTTTAGAAGTGTTCTGGTTTTCAAGATATATAAACCTCTCTTTACTCGATGGACAGGCAAAGATTTAAAAATGCCGTTGTAAATCGGATATTGCCATCTTTGCCTGGAGGATCCCTTAACAAATGACGCTAACCTAATACACAAAGAGAAATTTAGTCAGACAAATTCAGGGAAAAAAATCAATTTAGATCGGTCCACTTATCAGAAATATGAACGTAGAGTCTACATAGCTCTATGCACGTAGAGTCTACATAGCTCAAACGTGTATATTTCTGAAAAGTAAATCAGACGGTAAAAGTGGTCTGATCCAAATAGATTGTTAAGTACAATAGACGGCAACGTAGAATTTTTACACTCTCAGTACAGTTGTATTCTGTCGTCACAAGTGTCAATTCAGTTTTTGTGTCCGACAAAATTATCAATAATAGTGATAATTTTAGAATAAAGTGCTTTTCTTACAGTAAAATAAGTGCAATTTTATGTATCTTTTTAGTTTCTGTTTTTATTTAATCATAGAAAACATGTCAACCAATCTGAGACAATTTCGTTTTCTTTGTTATATTTGACACTTGTGACGTTGTGTATAATTTGTTTATTTCTCTGTTGCCACCTATTGTACTTGATAATCTATTTGGTCTGATCTAAAAAAAAAATTCTGAATTTGTATGACTAAATTTCAATTTATTCTGGTCTGCATCATACAAATATCCCAACCTGGTCTTTTATGGGTACCCTATACTGTACAGTCCCTATAAGAGTAAGTTATTGAAATATAAATTAAACAAAAGTTTACAAGGTGTTTTAAAGTGTATTTGAGTATATTTAACACTTAAGCATAAGAAAATCAAACTTGCCCATACGCATTAAAACACATTTTATTCTAGCTTCTACATATATACAGATATTCTAGCTTCTACATATATACAGATATTCTAGCTTCTACATATATTTCTAGCTTCTACATATATCCGGATATTCTAGCTTCTACATATATCCAGATATTCTAGCTTCTACATATATACAGATATTCTAGCTTCTACATATATACAGATATTCTAGCTTCTACATATATCCGGATATTCTAGCTTCTACATATATCCAGATATTCAAGCTTCTATATATATCCAGATATTATATCTTCTACATAAAATCCGGATATTCTAGCTTCTACAAATATACAGATATTCTAGCTTCTACATATTTTCAGATATTCTATTTTCTACATAGATCTGGATATTCAAGCTTCTACATAGCAAATATATCCAGATATTCTAGCTTCTACATAAAATCCGGATATTCTAGCTTCTACATAAAATCCGGATATTCTAGCTTCTACATAAAATCCGGATATTCTAGCTTCTACATAAAATCCAGATATTCTAGCTTCTACATAAAATCCGGATATTCTAGCTTCTACATAAAATCCGGATATTCTAGCTTCTACATAAAATCCGGATATTCTAGCTTCTACATATATCCGGATATTCTAGCTTCTACATATATCCGGATGTCATTTCATATTTATCATGAGAGAGCTCTTAAATGCATCGTCTATTTATAAAGAAAAAAGTTGAATAATTCCAGTTTTCATCTGAACTATGTTGGGTTGAATTGTTAGAGAAGAAAAAAGAAGAAAACTCAGGATATTGAATTGTTCAATTCTCTGATTTTAAATTTCAACCCTATTACGTTTAAAAACTTTCTAAAGTTTGAGAAAAGTTTCTTTTATTTACAAATCATTAAAGATGGAAATATAAAAAAAATATATTAAAATATTTTGAAGAAAAAGAGATGTTGGTTAAATAAAGAAATTGTAAAGGACGGTTTTGCCACAAACTCTGATTTTCTAAAATCAATATCTTTGCAGCCTTATGTTGAAAACCTTTGATATTTAAAACTTTGATTATCAAATATAACAGAATTCAGAGTTTGGATTATATAAAGTATACGACAATCGGTTGAAAATATATAGGTGTTAAAAATTCAGAGTTTGTGGTAAAGAATAGAATTTTAGGATTGAAAACAGAACTTGAAGAAAGAAAATGGAGAGAAAAGTTAATGAAAAGAATAGAGAATTGAGATGGAAAATTTTAGTATAAAAATTACAAAAATCTAAAAGAAGCCATTAATACGGAGAAATGAAAAAGAAAATGAAAAAATTGGAATAAGAAAAGGAAAATGGAGAGTAAGAATTGAGAAGGAGAACTCAGAAGGAAAATTGAGTAGGAGAATTTAGAAGAAGAATTAAGAAGGAGAACTATGGAGAATATAGAAGGAAAATTGAGTAGGAGAACTCAGAAGAAGAATTAAGAAGGAGAACTATAAAGAGAATATAGAAGGAAAATTGAGAAAGAGAATTAGAAGAAGAATTTAGAAGGAGAATTTAGAAAAGAATTTAGAAAGAAAACTGTAAGAATTTAGAAGGAAAATTGATAAAGAGAACTCAGAAGGAGAATTTAGAAAAAGAATCGTGAAGGAGAATTAGAAGAAGAATTTAGAAGGAAAATTAGAAGGAGAATTAGAAGGAGAATTGAAAAGTATAACTCAGAAGAAAAATCGACAAGGAGAAATAGAAGGAGAATTTAGAAGGAGAATTAGAAGGAACATTTTGAAAAAGAATTGAGTAGAAGAATTTAGAAGGATAACTCAGAAGGAGAATCGAGAAGGAGAATTAGAAGGAGAATTGAGAAGGAGAATTGAGTATGAGAATTGAGAAGGGGAATTGAGATGGAGAATTGAGAAGGTAAGAAGAAGTATTGAGAAGGAGAATTGAGAAAGATTATCAAGAAGGAGCATTGAGAAGTAGAACTGTTAGAAAAAATTGAAAAAGAGATTCAGAAGAATTTAGAAGGAGTTAATTGTATTTAATAAAGTAGAAGGAGTTAATTGTATTTAATAAAGTAGAAGGAGTTAATTGTATTTAATAAAGTAGAACTGACCTTAAAGCTAGAACTTGATCTCTCATCCCCTGGTTTCCAGGAACTGAAATCAATTATTGATCTTCAAAACATGATCGAGTCAAAGGATATGTTTCTTGGGATTTAAAGTTTAGAAACGATTTATATAGAACGAGCGATTTCACTTAACGAACGCTCTCACTGAGCGCAGGAATCAATTGATCGGCCATACATTAGTAAAACTAACGAAATAGATAGAAAATGAACGATAATTTTAAAAACGAACGAATTCTAATTTTTTCTAAACAATTGAAGAAGAAAAATGGGTAAGGTTTTATTTATTTTTTATTCTGATGATTCCATTATGTGTTCCTGCTGTAGAAATGAGCAACTAAAATTATAAACATTGATATCTAATTCATACCTGACCAGACAAAGCTATTAAGGGTGAATCGGGTATGGTTATCTGTTCATTAATGGGCACTTAAAAATACGCTTATACAATCCCTTAGAATTAGAAGAATTTTTTAGTTTTTTTTAGAAGAGAAATAGACCCCCCCCCCATTCTCAACTACTCTACCTTTTTTAGTCGAGAAATAGACCCCCATCCTCAACTATTCTCACCTTTTTGTACCTTTCTTTTTATATCTAATTACATATAACACGGGAAATATATTTCCAATATATTTGTTTATTTTTATATTTTTCCTTATAATCTAATCTCACCTTTATCTCCGTCTAAAAACAATCCCCCGAGAACTGAGAGTCTAAAAGTACAAAAATAAAAGTTTTTTTTCATTTATTGTTCAGGTTTTCATTTTCATTTTAGCTCTGAAATGGGTAAAATGCACGTTCGGTCATTTTTATTTCTAAACTTCAATGGCAGAGATCGGGAGTATTTTGATTTGATTTTGGCGCCAAATTTCATAAATGTACGGAGCATTTGGTTTAAAATTGCGCATGTCTTGACTCTTGATTACCTGTAATTTATTGCTACTAAAACAACTTCTTTATCCATAAAATGCTCGCCACCATACAACATGGAGGAATTGGAACCACTAAAATTATAAAAAGTGATGTTTTTCTTTTTCTAAAACATATTTATTTGTTTCAATTCTGAGTTCACACCCCCTTTTTCGTTTCAAATTCAAAATTATCATATTGATCATAAAAATACAATGTTTACACAACAATAGTTTTGCTATTGTCATGTATGGTTTGGAGTATTTAACTCTGAAATCCCAACTGAAGTAAAACCTTTGAGTTGTAAATCCCGGGATTAATGATTGATCTCTGTTTTTTGAAAATCTACGGAAAAATCTAATCTGCTTCGTTACCTGTAATTTGGTCATAACCTGCAGGGATTAAAAATTGATCTTAAAGTGCCTTAATTGGGTATCAAGATCAAACGTTCAAGATTAACGATACTCATACACAAAATTTCCGATCTCTGGATGAATAATAAAAGGTTGATTAAAATCTGTCATTGAAAATCTTCCTTTTTTGAGTTTTAAAGAAAATTTTAAATTCGGCCCGTAATCTGATTTATTCGTCCTGTAAGCTATTTATTTGTCCCGTAATCTAATTTATTCATCCCGAATTGTCATTGATTAGTTCCGTAATCTCATTTATTAGTCCCGTAATCTCATATATTAGTCCCGTAATCTCATTTATTAGTCCCGTAATCTCATTATTAGTCCCGTAATCTCATTTATTAGTCCCGTAATCTCATTTATTAGTCCCGTAATCTCATTTATTAGTCCCGTAATCTCATTTATTAGTCC